ACTCTTTGTGTACTCTATACTTAGAAACCCTTGAAAAGCATTGCTGTAAATCAGAATTAACTTGATGGCACATGTTTATTATTAACATAGAAAACCAGAAAGATCCTCCACCTTCTTATTTGATCTAATCATGCTGCTTCATTTGTATATACAGGATATTGATGGATTGTTGGCTAAACCTTTGGTGGAAATCTATTTGAGCAGAATATCTGGTGGGAAGAGGTCACATGGCCTATTTCTCCATAATACAGATCAAAGCTCTGCTAAATGACAGGAGAAGTGTTAACTCCTCCTACATTTATCTTATATATAATTTATTAAAGGTATCCCTAACCCATTCTCCCTTCTAGGATATACAGAATAGTGTACAAGATATGTGAACAAATAAAAATCTGCTATAATATATCATTAAACATTGGAATAAACATTGGGATAAAAACCAATCAGAAGCCTACCAATAGCAGAGAGAAATAAGCATATGCCAGCATAACAATGTCAAACCACATGTCAAAGGAAATGCAAACACTGCAACTTTTTCCTACCAGGATGCAATGCCTGCAAATTTCTTTGCTTGAGCAACCAGACTGACAAATGAAGCTTGTGTTAATCTCCCAAAGACTGGTAACAAAGGTAAAGCAAGGGAATTCTCAAAGCATAGAGGGCAAAATCAAAGCTTTTCCACTTCTGTTCTAAACCATTTGGGAGCACAAAAGGAAGGTCCATGGCCATTTAAATTTTCCACATTGGCTCAGAGTGAAAGGTTACTGGGAGTTCTGTGGAAATTAAACTGGTGACAGCTTCTCGCACAGCCCATCCCACTCAGCACTTATGTCAGTGTCAGTTTCTCCTATCTCATATGTATATATTTTTAAAACAAGGTAGCCGTAGGTTCAACCAGTAGGTACTACAGTGGAACCAAGGCAGTTCCCAGAAGGCTTCCCTACAGTACTCAAACCCCAAGCTTCACACACTATCTTTCTGAACAGGCAAAATCCAAAGAAAGAAAACAAAACAAGATGCATCCATGAAAGCTTACATTAAAATATAATAGTCTTTAAGGTGCCATGTGTTGTTTTGATCTTTTTGTTGTTGTTTCTTTGGATTTTGCCTGATATACTTGCACAGACTAACACAGCTAGTTCCTCCAAAACTTTCTGAACAGGTAACTTTTGACTAGAACGTTAGATCAGTAATGTTTGCAGATAATACAATTAATATATCTGATGACATTTTGAGTGCGTGTACATCTTGTGCTGCATGGTACTATTTCCAAGAATTTACTGACATGAACAGATTTGCTCAATAAAATTAAAGCAAAAACTTCCCGCAAAACTCTTCCTGCCACACAAATACTAGTGCCAAATCCTCATTAAATGAAAAAAGGGCAATAATAATGGCCTTAACTCAGTTAATCATAGGCAATATTTACTTTTCTGCTCCAAATAATGTTCTACAAGAAATCTTAATGGATTGCAGGAGCTCATGCAAATTTATGTTTTCTCCATTATCTCAGCAAGTCAGCTAATGCCTTTGATATGTGAAGTCATAAAAAGTTTTATCACCCATCATAAAAGGCATTATAAATTATATTTCCAGTACTTTATTGATAGAAGTTGTGTTCAGGCTGATATGTTCTGCAAACATCCATCTCTGCCGCTTTCTGTCACATCAGTCTGTTTGTCCACCTACCTCACAGCACACTATGCTGTGCTGTGGCTGCTCTCCAGAATATTTGTCAGTGTCTTCTCCTTCAGTTAACTTGATTCTTTTTGAACCAGAGATGTTGAATACTGAACTTGGAACCTTGTACATGGAAATCATGGAACTGCTGGGCAAACTGCTCCAGACTGCAAATGGAGTAGGTGGGTTAACAACAACCATCTTCTGGCCATTTCTCCTTAATGTCCTTGATGTTCCCCCTCTCTTCAATTAACATTAATTCCTCTAAAGAGTTGCAGATGGTTTATATCGCTCTCCCCCTCTCCATTGTACCCTCACATCAACCCTGTGAGGTAGATCTGACTGTGAGTAAGTCCAACACTCCACATCAACCCTGTGAGGTAGATCTGACTGTTCCATGGACAACAGTAAGTCCAACACTCTGATCACAACAAGATATTAATTATAGGATGAAGTAGTACCACACGGCATGTCCTGATTCTGTAAAATGGTTTGCTTTCAGCTCTCAGGTGTGGTAGAGGATTCTATCCCATCACCAGTCCTGAGGTAAGATCCAACTGGTTTTTACATCAGTCAACTTCTGTGTGGAAAACGGTGGTAAAGGGTACACTTTTGTTCGTTGCCAGAGGCAGAAAAATATTTTGGATGTTCTCCAACTTAGCAATACTGTACTGCCCTTCCCAACGTGGAACATGTCATATGAGTGTAAGGAAGGAAGATCGCTTGTAATAATATTTAAATATTATTTATTTACATTTAACTGGGATATTTTAGAAGTTGTAGTAATCTTTCACATGTCTGGTTAAGGTGAAGCACAAAAATCCCTAATGGGGTGAAGAATCCCTAAAAGATTTAAATAAATGAATTTCAGGTGAACCAAGTGGTTTTGAAAGGAAAAAAAAATTAGTACAGGCAAATTCAATAGCAATAAATTATACTTTCCTTCACAGCTTGTACTCGCCATCAAACCTTGGTGGTCCCTTTACAGGACAGTGTAAAGTACTATTGCGCATTTGTTTATGAAAGCAATGGCAAAAGGATTTCAGATGTGGTTACTCAGAAATTAATTCCTGTATTGTTAATTCCTTAATGTCCTATCTAGTTTTCTTTGTTTGTTGTTTGTTTGTTATTATGTATATGTTGTTCTGTTTAGGTTTTTACATATACACAATCCATAGTGTGGTGCACTAATGGGGCGATATCTAAATCTCAGAATTAAATAAATAAATAGTCTATCCACATTTACTGTATGTGTAACAGTCAATGTCTCATTCTTTCCACAAGGCGGAGCAAGTTCACTGAAAGAGGAATAAAGGAATGTGGCAAGAGGTTTTCCACTATTCTGCTTTCAAAGGTTTTGTCTTCCTCTGGATGGTAAACAGAATCATAATACAAAGGAATGGAATACAGCCCTAATTTGGTAATATTTTTAGAAACAAACCTGGAATCATGGCATGGAAAATTATTTAATGAATTAATGTCCTTTTATCAGTTTCCATTTCAGCTCCTCTCAGCATCATCTACTTTGTTTCCTAATTTGAGGCTGTGTTGTTGGGCTTTTAAAAAAAATCTTACTCTGATTTAGAATTTCTATTGAAGTGTAATTGTTACAATATTTTTGTTAGAAAGAATTTTTTTCTTAGCAAGAAATATTAAAGGTGTTAATGAAATCATAGCCTGTCAAACTGCAATAACTCAGGCTTGGAGAAATCTAGAACAAGAATGTTGTGGATTTCCTCTAGAAATGCAAGCAATTTGCAGAACCACCTATCCTTTCCTCTTTTAATTGTAAGAAATTCCTCTGAAAGTTAGAGGAATTTCCTGTGAAAGTTGCTTTAAAACTTCATGGAAACCAATGGAGGGTGTGTTCAGGTTGTATGCTAAAGAAGTCTTGTCAGTATTACAAATGAACTGAACATTGCCTCAGAACATGCCCAATAATTTCCTGCAATCCACAGGAGTTCTGAAGCAGGCAGGCAAGGCTCATCAGGATAGACAAATTATTATAGAAAGGGACTTCTTCCAGGTAGGCTTGGAAACCACTGTTGCTAAGCTATCCCATCAACTTACTAAATCTGCAGTCTTGTTATCTTCCTGTGTAGAGTAAGACTGTTTTTTAATGATAGCATGTCACTGTCAGCTGAAACCACATTATTAGTCTTCCAGAGGTGTGAGTCCAGCAGACATTCATATTGAAGCAGTCATACAGTGGTGCCCCGCTTGACGACAAATCCACTTCATGACAATGTTTTAATGGGCAAAATCCGCTTTGTGACGATCGGTTCCCTGCTTTGGGAACCGATTCTTCGCATTACAATGATGAAAACAGCTGATCAGCGGGTTTTCAAATGGCTGCTGGGTGTTCAAAATGGCTCCCCGTTGTGTTCAGGACAGATTTTTCGCTGCACAGGCATCGGAAAATGGCCGCCCTATGGAGGATCTTCGCTGGAAACTGACGTATTTCACCCATTGGAATGCATTGAACCAGTTTTCAATGCATTTCAATGGGCTTTTTTATTTCGCTTGACAAGGATTTCGCTCTACAAGGATTTCGCTCGTCAAGCGAAGCACCACTGTACTTACAAAACAAAGCCTGTGTTTATCTCCTGATGACCATTCACAAAACAAAGCTAGCTAATATGCAAGCTACTGCTTCTTCTGTGACCATCACAAATCCTTCTCCATTTAGCATGATGTCATGCTAAGATATGGTTTGATTTGAAAGATAGCTTTTACTGACAAGAGAGGCACACAGAAACAATTAACACAATGTATATTTTCCCTATGCACCATGTTTTATAGTTTCCCTCTTCTAACAGATCCACATTATACTCATTGCATCCAGTGATGAAACTTCAAGTGCATGGAGTAAAAATAGTTCATATTTTTTTCTTCAAAAAGGACAAGGTTGCCATGTAATCCTCTCACTTACCACAGCTCTTCTGAGCACATCAGTCTAGAGCAATATGGCAGTAATGCAAGATGACATTTCAAAAACAAAAGCTGAATTTTAAAGAAACCATTGTGAGTTCTTTATACTGACATTTATCATCTCAAAGATGAGGCTCTATATGTGGCAGATATATCTGGATAAGGCTGAAGCCCCAGCTGTTTATTGTCTTTTAGTTTTTGTACGATAACTCTAGCAACTTCTTCTCCTTGGCTATCACTAGTATCAAGCAGCTGCCTGACTTTTGAGGTCCTTGTAGGTTTGGTGCTGATGAGTTCATAGTCCTCTCTCATGATTAAATCTCGTGCAAGGAGGGCATCCAAAGACTGGTTCAGACAAGCTTCTGTCATCTGGTTGACTATTTCTTCTCTTTTGTTCTGAATCCACTGGTGAGCTACAGCCAGCCCATGTTGTGGCACAGTTTTCAATGTAAAATCTAACAAAAATAATATTAAAAATGGGGTTGACAACATTCTAAAAAATATACAAGTTATGAAATGTGACTATCTACTTGCCAGAGAACTGCCTATCTGAATCTCAAGTTACTAGGTTAAATTCATAAACTGAAACAACCATATTTTTCTGTGTATAAGATGCCCCCATGTATACGACCCCCCCCCACTTTTCTAACCCAAAATTAAAAAATCTAAGCAGGGTTTAGCAAATGTAGGGGGAAAGGGATCAAAGTACTGCAGGATTGCTTTGATCCCTGCTTTCTCCCTTCGTGCTAAGGCCTGGGGGGCTTAGCAAAAGGAGAGGGAAAGGGATCAAAGCAATCACGCAACTGCAGGGTTGTTTTGATCCCTTTCCCCTTATACAACCAAGGGATTGCTTTGATTCTTTCCCCACTCCTTTTGTCAAACCCTATGGGACTTAGCAAGCAGAGGGGAAAGCAAGGGATCAAAGCGATCCTGCAGCGCTTTGATCCCTGCTTTCCTTTTGCTAAGGATTAGCAAGTGGAGGGGAAAGCAGGGATCAAAGCCCTGCAGGAACAAAGGGATCAAAGCCCTGCTTTCCCCTCCACTTGTTTTTGTACTCTCCTCAGCTTACTTCCATGTATAAGACAACCCTCAATTTTTAGTCTAAAAATTTTAGACAAAAGTATAGTCTTATACACGGAAAATACGGTACTTAGTTTATGGATTGGTTAAAATACATTCTGAAAATAACCTTCATTTTTAGTTTACAGATTGGTTAAAATACATTCTCAAAATAACCCTCATTTTTATCTGTACCATTTTTGACAGGTTGTCGTGTTAAGACTAAGGTTTCCCTCTAAGGTGCACAAGCATGCATGACACCACCCCTTCTGTGCAGGGCTCCTCCTTCTCTGCAACCCACAGCAATTGTTTCCAGCCCCTTTGGTTCCACTGGTGACAGAACTCTGCACAGAGGAAGGGGAGTCATGCATGCAGGGGGAGAGCAGAGTTGTGTGAGAGAGGGGCAGAAGCCCACCCAGCAGGGCTGAAAATTAGAGGGAACATTAGTTAAGACATTATAGTTAAGAGAGTAAAAAAAAACTGGTAAGCATTCATCACATCCTCTCTTAGAAGGATGACTAGTCTGCTCCTACACTATGGTCCAAATAACTTTTTTTTTTAAAAAAAGTCATTCCTTAGAATGCAGCTAAATAGAAACTCTGTCATGTGCAAACAAGTTTCACCACAGAAACGTTGCAGTTAGATATATAAATTTATCCCTAGAAATCAAAAGATGAAAGAGATACAAATGTCCATGTATTTACATATGCTGTAACATTACCTAAAAAAATGTGTAAGTCTGATTTAGATACTCTGCATATGGTGATATACTTCAATAGTTATTAATAAAAACCTGATCATATGAGTGCAATGCAATGATTCCAGGAATCTACCTGAATTGTTTCCTGCTGGCTGAAGTGTGTGTGGTGCCGAGTTTGATGAATTAGAACTACTTCTGTTTGATGAGGAAGAACTCTGGAAAGATGCATTAGGTAGAGTATTCTGACACAGTTCAGTGATGCTGTGTAATGAGCGTGGTTCACCTAATGAGTCATCACTACCTTTAAAGAAGGAAATGTGTTTTGTGGTTAAGAAGTGACATAGAAAAATATTGAACAAATCTAGAACCAACATGTCAACTTGCTATCATGCCATCCAGGATCCAAAGAGCTATTCTGTTTACAGGAAACAGTTTGGATGCCCACAGGGCCCCCCTGACCCCAGCCTTCAGAAATATCACATGCTGCTTTAGAAACATGGACTTGCTCCATGCCTTGTGACATGTATTCTATAAAATGTCCAAAGAGGAAGATGCTGTGAAGGTGGGGTTGGCAGTCATTTTCTTAAGCTAGTGATACTCCTGGCCTAGTGACCATTCCCATTCAATTATTCTACATAAGAGAAACAGCCAATGAGGGCAGCTGTCTCTTCAAGTGGCAATGAAAATGTCTACTTTTTGAAAGGAAGACAAATGTAAGGAACAATCCTTCACCACCTTGTATCATAAATGTCTCCAACCTTGCAAAAGTCTATTGAATCTACCTCACCACAGGAATGCGCTTTCAGAATCTGGGGACTAAGTGCTTTGGCATAACTCAATTGTCATTGCTGCAGTAAGCAAGAAACAGTTAGAAGGAAGTTCAAACCAGCTTGTTCAGAGGTGGTCAAACAGGACAAACCAGCTGTATTACTGCTGCCCTTAAAGCTTTCTGCTTAAAACATCTACTCCTCGTTCAACCAGTTTGTATTCCTTCTTTTGTTTTGTTCCCACAGATCTCCTATGTAGGACAATGAGGGAGTGTTCTTTCAAGCTCTGCGTGATTAGCTTGGCTTTGTAGACAGACAAGCTTACTAAATTTTATTGGTTATCCTGGACATTGCAGGCCAATGATATTTGGAGGGCTATACATTCTACACTTGGAAAATAGCTGCTCCATACTAAAAGAAACTTTCATGCCTAATTACCATTACCTAAAGCTGCTTAGACCAAAAGCACTTACCTCCTGAAAGGATATTGTATTGTCTTGATATACTTTGTAGAACCTGAGAATGTCCGTCACTTTGGGATGAAGAATCACGGTTTTCCTGGGATGAAAACAGTCAAAGAGAGAACACAGACTGAGTAATAACATTTCCCTCCCCTCCCCACTGCCCTGTTTTCCCACCTCTCCTGGTTGCAACCAATGAGACCTTGCGCTCTGCACAAAAAGCAATCATGTTAGCAATTTAGTTTGGAACCAAAGGCTAGTCCTCAGGGCTGAGAAGGACTCTAATCTGAAGCCCAGAAGAACTACAGCCAATCAATATAGACTACAGATAGGAAACCTTTGGTTCTCCAGATGTTCTTGATTACAGCTGCCACAAATATTTAGTACTGGCTGTGCTGCCTTAGGCTTTTAGGCGTTTAAGACAGCTCAGTAGTTTAGGTTTCTGGCTGTGTAACCAGAGATATGGAGTTCAATTCCTACTGTCCCTCCCTAAGAGGAACTGGACTTGATGATATATAGTGACGCTTTCAGCTCTGCAGTTCTAAAATTATTATTATTATAGAATATAAGACCAAAACAATGGCAAGAATTCTGCTGAATGTTGGTACATTGAAATGCTTTGCCAATGTAGCTCCCAGTGGTAATCACCTGTTTGAACAAATGGAGCTTGCCCCAAACCTAAAATCAAAGTAGTCTGACACTAATAGGATCCTGTCCAAAGACAGACAAATTTTGCCCACTCTAGCATCAACAAAACTAAACTAAACTAGATGTCCTAAAGTTTTGTCAGTTGTACCTCTATCTTTTCCCTTTTCCATTCTTTATTTATCCATTCTTTATCGTACAAGTGTCATGTGATCTATAACTTGGAACATCATAAAATGGCCAGAATCCTATTGGCACTTTACATTTGCATTATTTGTGATAGTAAATTTCCACCATTAATGAGGTGTTGGATGCATTGTTGGGTACAGTTGTTGTTGTTTAGTTGTTTAGTCATGACTGACTCTTCGTGACCCCATGGACCAGGCCCTTTTGTCTTCCACTGCCTCCCGGAGTTGGGTCAAATTCATGTTGTTAGGACAGTAGGAACACCTCATTAAGAAGCAGCAATCTCTCCCCATGTTTTATATAATCTCCCTTATGCAAGTGTAAATCATCAATACACTCCTGTCTAATACCTTTAGCCACCTCTATTTTTTGACAAGAACAAAACCAAAACAAATTCCCATCAATGGCCCTTGCTTCCGGGGTTTTGTTCTGAAACCAGTAACACTCGGGTGGATTAATGCTGTTCTCAACATGTAGCACGTTCTCATCTTCTACATGTATAGCAAAGTCTGAAATAAGGCTCCTGTTCTGATTGTAGACTGCAGCAGGATAACAGCTCAGTGGCAGAGCACATGTTTTCAGTTTTACATTTTTGCAAGTTCAGTCACTGGTGTCTCCAGTCCAAAGGGTCAAGAAGAAGGTTATCAGAAGGACTCCAGCTGAAACCCTGGAGAGCTGCTGACAATTAGAGTGGAGTGGACAAACAGCATTGTAACAGCCTTATCCAGAGCCAGACAGTGTTTCAACATTTCTGAAAGAACAGCTGCCCCAGTAAAAATTTTGCCTCAGCTACCCAGTGTACCCATTGCCCTACTGTTATACATTCATTCCTCTCTGCACCTAAAATTGTGATTGCCTAAGAATGATAAAGTCCTCAAAAAATACAGCTGATGAAAGCATCGCAAAGACTACAACATGGCTTGTGCAATACATTTTTTTAAAGTTATACATTTATGGTTTTATTTGATTTATGTTATTGTAATTGATGAAGATGGAACTGCCAACAAGTACTGCCTTAAATATTGAGACATAACAACTGGCATTAGAACACCCTCATGCTTAATCCACAGATCTGAAATTTAACCACTGTTTTTAAACAAAGCTACAATAAAAATGAACTCGCATCAGTATCTGCAATTCCAGACTCCACAGATCTGAAATTTAACCACTGTTTTCAAACAAAACTACAATAAAAATGTATCTGCAGTATCTGCAATTCCAGATATTTAAGAGAACTACAATAACTGTGTGCTGTCAACTCAATTCTGACTTATGACAACCCCCTTTCAGAGTTTTCCAAGCAGGGAGTACTCAGAAGTGGTTTACATTTCCTTTCCTCTGGGGGCACCCTGGGACTGTGCAGCTTAACCAAGGCCACTGAGGACGGAAAAGCAACAAGAAAAAAATCCCCTTGTTGCCCCTTCCTGTCTCCTCCCACTTCCCAGAGGAAGTTTTCCATTTGCCTTTTTTAAAACAAAACAAAACCCTGATGAAGTACATATGGGCTATCCTAAAACCACCCCCATTTTCTCATTCCCTTCAAAGAACCAAAGAAGTGTTTAATCTGCTATTATCCTGAAATGGCCCTCTTCTTAAGACAATTGACAGGGGAAGGCTTGCTTTTGTTTTGTTTCCAGTGATCATAACACGCTGGAAATGAACCAAAACTGAGGGATTCTACCTGCACCAAGAAAGTAGAAGCTCTGACAGATGTGGGTAAGAACACTCTTGGGGCAAGCTGGTTCACTCGAGCAAAGATATTGTCCAATTGCCATCTTTATGAGTGAACCAGCCCATTCCTGCAGTGAGTCAAGCAACAGACTAAATGCACATGTAGAGTCTCTTAGTCTTTTAGTTTGCGCAACTGGGAGCTTCCATCCACCTTAGGCCTAGGCAACAAAATAAACACATACAATTGTTGCTCCTAGGTGTTACTCCTTTCCTGTAAAAAAATAGGCACTAAACCTTGCATAAGGAGCATAAAGGACATAAAGGACTAAAATAATCTCTCTCTCTCTCTTTCTTTCATTTTCTTCGTCTCCCTCACACATATGTGATGATACTCAATTACTTCATGACAATTACTTCATGTAATCATTGGTTCCAGATGTGAAATTCCTTACATAAGAAGGAATTCTTTGACATGGACAGATTATATAGTATTTGCCCTAAGCAATGGCTTAAAAAAAAAGAAACATGTTTCACTCACAGGTCTTCATGTTTCTGCACAAAAGCCATTTAAAATATTTAAGGCTTTAGTCATTTCAATAATATTTCTTGCATGCTCTGGGCATATTCCCCTGCTGGGTTTTTATTTTGGTTTAGTAAAACCAAAACAAAAAGTCCTTTTCCTACTTCTGCATTCCACTAGCAGTGCAGATTCAAATTCGCTTCCTCAGTAAATATGAAATGAAAGTAAGGCTGGGACACTGCACTCTCCCTATTTTTTCTTCATGCAACTGAGATAAATGGGCCAAAATTCTGTTGCAAAGTTACATAAAAGGGGCAATCTTTAGCAGCAAATGGCCTTAAGTTAAGAAATATCCACACATAATATCTGTTGTATACTGAATCATGCAATTCAGTGTACCACTGATAATATCTTAGGAGATTTCTTAACTTACAGGACCTCTCACCCAAAATATGTGGCCAATTACTGGTCCTGGAGATTTCCAGAAATTGTGCTTTCTTTCTTTCTTTCTTTTTTAAACATCAGGGGCTCGAATGGAAGTTCTCCTGAGATCCCCAACTCTCCAAAACACAAAAAAAGCAAAGAAAACCAGAAATCCCTCCCTAGACATTCTTGTTTTTAAATGATTAGAAATGACCATTTTGGGGCACAATGTGGTGCACAGCTGGTTAAGTGGGTACAACTTTGGCCTGAATTCTGCTAAACATGGCCACCTTGTGTTATATTAATGAGATTTAAATTAGTCCTAATTTGGATCCAGTCCTGAAGAATACAGGAAGTTGCCTATGTTAAGTTAAACCATTGGTCCATCAAATTCAGTACTTTTTTCCAATCTTTACCTGCAGATGGTGAGGACTGAATTAGGGACTTTCTTCATGCATAACATGTGCTTGACCAATAAACTAAAGGCATTGTGCATAAAAGTATGAATGAAAAAATAACTGTACCTTGAGAATTGTTGTTATGTACTATCAAGTCATAATTGACTTATAGTGACCCTAATAGGGTTCCCAAGGTAAGTGTATTTGAGGAGTGGTTTTACCAGTTCCACCCACCAGTAAGTTCCCATATCGGAGCTGAGGAATCAAACCCAGATCTCCTGAGTCCTAGTTCGTTACTTTATCCACTACACCACTGGGTAGCCACCCTGAAAACAGGTCTTTAAATTTCTCAGCACTGTGACAGAAGCAACATTGAAATGAACATGAAATATCTGAGTTTTGAAAGTGTCATATAAATACAGAGAGAAAGAAGATGATGAAGAAAATGACACAATTTCTAATACTACTAACAGGAACAATAAAAACAGGAAAATATTACCTCTTGTAGACTATGATTTAATGGTATATTTAGAGACATTGACTCATCATTTGATGTGCTGCTAGACAAGTGTAGACATCGCCATTCATAATGAGACTGAAAGAAATATTAACACAATTATGTCAATCGAGAAGGAACTATGGCACCAGGGTACATAACAGTTATTCAGCTCGCAGCTTCAGCTACATACTAATCATGTCTTTTTATGGACAGAGAATTTTTACTTGTGTATTTTTTATTAGGCTACCATGAATACTTACTTTGGCCTTCTTTAACTGTATCACTGCCTGAAGCATAGGTATCTCATCAAAATTTCTCAACACAGGTTCAAGCTCGATTAAGCATTCTGAACAAATTTAAAAAAGGGTAGTCAGTTTTATAGCATTAGATGTCTAACAGGAAAACTATTAAATGATGAGATCACATTTATAAAAAGAAGACCTATGGAGATGCCCCACAAACCCTCTTCTAAGGATGTTCCTGTACCAACCAATCTCTGGTAAAACAAATAGGATTTTCTTTTGTGTATTTATTTTTATTTATCTTACAAACTGCCCTTCATCCACATGAGACTACAAAGATAGTCTGTGTGACATTTGTAATCATTATTTAATCAGATGCATTTATAATTCTGATTGTGGGATTTCAAAAGAAAATGTGTAATTGCAAATTGAGACACATACAAACTCTTTGGCCAGCAAACTAATAAAGAAATAATCAAACAGGGCATAAAATTATATTTGAAATTTCACAGTGGAGAAAGAGGAATGTTTTCATTGGTTCAGGAAAGAAAATCCTAGTCCTGCTGTTCACAACAGCCAAGCAACAGCAGAATTTACTGAAATTTTATTATTATTTTTTTAAAAAAACATACTACATTCAAGTTTCAGGACTATCACTTGTTATGATTCAGTATTACAGGGTACACAAACCCAGCATTGTTGGTTTTCTTTCCTCTCCCTAGGACAAGCAGCTAAGCCCCAACAAATGTCATTGACTAAACCTTAAAATATGTATTACACTATTAACTGGCAAAGAATGAAAGTCAAGACTTTTAATATTTTTATAAGTGTTCTCCCAGTGGGTGATGTTCTAGATTATAACTCCCATTAGCAGCAACATTTGGCCCAAAGCCATGGAACTTATGGCCCAACAACTGGAAGTACTCTGACTTCGGTTGGTTGCCTAACAACTGCATAAGAGTATGCCACATTTCCTGGTCCCTTCTTTATCCAAACAGTGTTTGAGGCTTAAACACCAAATTCATGGTCATACCAAACCAAGAGTTCCTCATTGGTTCTTATACAGTCATGGCCAAAAATATTGGCACCTTTGCAATTCTGTCAGAAAATGCAACCCTTCTCACAGAAAATTGTTGCAGTTGCAAATGTTTTGGTACTCACATGTTCATTTCTTTGGTTTGTATTGGAACAAGACAAAAAAAAAACAGAAGAAAAGTCAAACCTGACACAATCCCACACAGAAACCCCAAAATGCATTGGCCAGAATTATTGGTACCCTGTCTAAATTGTGAGAAATAATTGCTTTTCAAGCATGTGATGCTCCTTTAATTTGTATTTAGACACCCCAGTCACAAGTAAGAGGTGTAATCACACTTCCAACCAGTTAAGATGGAGAAAAGTTGACTCAGCTTTTGTGTTGTGTGTGACACTGAGCATGGAGAAAAGAATGAAGTGTAAAGAGTTTTCTGTGGATTTGAGAGAAGAAATTGTGGAAAAACATTGACAATCTCAAGGCTACAAGTCTATCTTCAGAGATCTTAATGTTCCTGTGTCCACTGTGCAGAATATCATCAAGAGGTTTACAGCCCATGGCACTGTAGCTAACCTCCCTGGACTTGGAAAGAAGAGCAAAATTACTGAAAAATTACAATGAAGGGTTGTTCGTATGGTGGATACAGAATCCAGATTAACTCCCCAACAAATTGAAGCTGATCTGCAGACACAGGGTACAGTGTCAGCTCGCACTGTCACCCTCTGAATGAAAAGGGACGTTATGGAAGGAGACCCAGGAGGACACCACTGCTGACACAAATGCATAAAAAAAGCAAGACTGGAGTATGCCAAAACCTATGTGACAAAACCACAATTCTTCTGGGAGAACATATTGTGGACAGATGAGACAAAAGGAGAGATTTTGGGAAAGGACATCATGGCACTGTTTACAGAAAAAGACCCATCTAGATGAGCCTTAAGTATACTCTGTACTTCTCTGTATACCTAGTAACATTAAATGAGAAACCTGGTGCACTATGGTACATGGTTTTTAGTAATAAATAGGCATTGCTTTTATTGCATACAACAGTAACGTTTATATAGAGGAGCAGAGGAGGGTCTGTATTATGATCCTGTTTTGGAGAAGAAGCAACTTGGACTGAGAGAAAGTACAATCTTGAGTCTGTACTGATTTTTGGACATGGAGGTATAGGTCATAAATGTGTTCAATTAAAAAAGAGTGTTGGCCTCAAATCAGGAAAGTACATTCCTGACAGAAATGGGCTTTGAAGTTTGGATCACCTCTCTTGATCACTAATATGTACAGTATGTAGTTATCCCATAGCTGAGTGAATTTAACAAGGCCGTGTCCTGTATGCAGACCTGTTATTTAAATTTGTAGGGTACACAATGCTGTTTCAGCCATTTACTATCTATTCTTCATTTCACACCTGAGTGTGAAGTGGTGAGGTTGTTTGAAGTTCCTTTGTGGGGATCATGGGGTGAGTACCATAGTGGTGGAGTTTCAGCTCAAACTGCTTCCAGTCCATATAGCTTGGACCAGTTTCTGCCTCTCAGCTTGTTGCAAGGATAAAACATTCAAAGCACACCATTCTTATAAGGGATATAAAAGCGAGTGTGTGGCGGCCAAATCTCAAGCTATGCTAAGCCTGCTATTTAAAGACACATTCAATCTAGTCATTTTTAGACTGAGAGGCAATTCAAATCAGGCCCTATATAATTCTTCCCCTGAAGATTGCCTCCTCTGGTTGCTATTTGCCCCAGAAGATGCTGTTTGCAATGAAAGAGCCAGGAAGCAAAGGGATTTTTTAATCACCACATCTGCTTCATGATCCTACTAGGAAAAAAAAACACAAACGAATGTTACAATAGTGTAGTTTAGCTCTGGTTGAGTAAATGAGGAAAGTGACTCCGAAAAGTGACCTTATGACTCAGAAATAACAGTGTTGTGACACGTTTAAGACAATCAGAGTCATTGTGAACTGGAGTCCATTTTATCACAGGCATGCTGGGAGGGCCTGATGAAAGCTGTAGACCAGAACATCTGGAGGGCCAAAAGTTCCTCACCTCTGCTAGATTTTCGTGTTGTACGGGTAAATTTAAGACCTCTCTGAAGACTGTATGTCTTGTGGGTTCCTCTTCATTTACCACACTGAGGGAAGGCTGCCAGCAATGCATATATGTTGCATGTGGTCTCTTCCTGGGGGTGGTGATGGTTGTGGATTAATTCTTCTATGCAAAGATACCTCCTGCTGACTGTTGAAATGCAGAACAAAGGATGAGAGACTTTTCTGACCATGGATGCTATTAGCTTAATGTTTCTGTTCTCTGATCTTCCTGTCCTGTTTGCTTTGTACAGCTTAATCAAGTTTTTTTACAATATGTGGACCAAGTAATTGAAAACAAATTTAGCATGTCTCAGACCATCAAGTTCCCTTTCAGCTGGCTGGCTGGCTGTGCGGTAGACTTGTCTGCTTTCAATTTCCAGTGATGTTAGAAATGTAGAATGGCTTGATTTGTAATTGTGAATGTTAATAATGAAAGAGATATTCCCCGGTCTCAAGCTTACACAGGAATTCTGGCTCCGTTACGCTTCACGTAACAAACCCCAATTCAAAACCCTGTTGTTATTCTGTGCTGAAAATTTTTATGCTCAGCTATTGTTGTTTTTAACCAAGTGCCCATTTTATTTCCACGAAACATGCACTGCATACAGGATACAAAAATATTTGTGCAGGGAAAGGTTACTGTGAAAAAGCTGAAAGCTGTTTCTGTCTCTCTTTATACAGGTATTTTAGCTGTGGATGATAATTTTTGATCAGTGTCCCCATAATTGTTCCAGTCTATTCATGGGAAAACAGGGAAATCCAATTTATAGCACAAATCGGTGTTTCATTTTGATGAGAGTTTGTTTTTCGTCTTAACATGTGCATGCTTGATAGGGAGAGCTGTTTTATCGAAACCACATTAAAATCACAGTGTTTCTTTAGTTTGAGAATTTTATGAATACTCTGCGGCCCATAGCAATGCAAGGGGCAGTTCAAGCCATGCACTAGCAGCTTCTTTACTGCAACTGGACAAGAAAGTCCACATAAATTGTTTGCATAACCCTTACTGCCCTCACTTCCGAGAAGATGCCCATGTGTTTTTGTGTGAATTTGTTTATTAGAAAGAAAAAAACCAATGAAACTTTAATGACCTAGAGTTAACCGCTGAAATCCTGCTGATCAGAATAATAAGTCACATTAGAGTAGGCCCACTGATTCAGTGAGGTTTAGTGAGTCAACTTGTCCATAATTTCCACACATGACTTACTATGCTTCAAAATAGGGTTTCAGCCAATGACATGTACTTAAATGTTTGCTTCATTTATATACTGCCGTTCCTCAGAAGGAACTTATGACTACTAACAAAGAGTCCAAGATGGCTCCAAAGTATGCAAAACATATAACACAAGCGGAAACTATGTTCGTTCTCCCTCCTGTGCACAGTCTAAAACTTGGCTTCTGCCAGCGATACAGCACTTGAATAGAGAGAGGACACCCTTGGATGCTGACCAGTGGATATGCTTAAATGAAACTGGCAGACATGATGCCTACTTTGCAATGTCAAATGGGAAACTCACTTGAAAAAGAAGGCCTTTCATCTGGATTTTGTGCCCAGCCAGATTCCATTAATGATACCATCAATCCTCGGTGTGGAATATCAAAGGGCAAATATTCTTCGCCGGTGTTTGGACGCCTTCCTTGAGACACACTATACATAATCTGCAAGGGGTTTATAACATCTGTCAAAGTAGATATTATGCACTTATTAGAAATACATGTACTTCTTATCCAGTAGTGAAAACACAGGTGAGAATAGAGAATATACATCACGTTTCATATTATATTATGTTGCCAACAAAGATTTCTTTAACATAAGAAGGTCGCTCAATACAGAGTCAGGTCATTGCTCCATGTAGCTGAGTCTTGCAACTCTTGACTAGAAAGGTTTTAAGCAAAATTCTTCCCGTAGTCCTCCTTGGGGATGCTGGGAAGTTACCTGGAACCATCTGCATGCTAAATAGGCACTGCACCAGTTATAGGTCATTCTTAATTAATCTAGCAAAATATGTCACCTCCAAAGCTTTTACTGAGCTGTTCATTTAACTGCATGAGAAAAAGTATGGTTTATTGGGCAAAAGTATTTGCCCAATAAAATGATACTGTTCAATATTAACCCAGCCTAAATTCTCCTGTATAGAATTATAAAACAGGAAAGGAAATTTATTTATTTAAAATACTTTTATTTATTTATTTATTAGGTTTATACCTTGCCCATCTAGACAGATAGTCTACTCTGGGCGGCATAACAAAGTTTAAAAGCAATAAAACCAATAACATACAAAAATCCAAGATGTAAACATATAGATATTAAAATACAGCAGGACGGAAAGCCTGCCTAAATAGCCATGTCTTGAGTTTACATCTAAAGACCCCCCAGAGAGGGTGTCTTTATCCCATTTCCCCCTAAAAAGCAATCCAATGCATT